CCGGAGACCTTTCTGCCCAGGAAGCCCAGGAAGAAGGAGCTCTCCAGGAGCTGTGCATGGACATCCTGGAATCACTGGACGTCTCTGTGAGAGGGATGTCCAAAGTGAGTCACGCTCTGCCCTGCTGCTGCTCCCTGCCTTTGCACCACGTGTTCCTTGTCCCATTCCAAGACCCCAGATCTCTCCCCCAATGTGCTCTGAAGCACACAGGACTCAGGGAAATTCACAGAGTCCTCTTCATCTCTGAGCAGAGGCAGGAATGCTGACCTGCTCAACTGCCTCGTTCCCTACAGCTCCTGTGGCCACGGCTGCTGTTGTTTGTGGTGCCAGCGCAGTACACAGGCATGCTGATCCCAATCTCCCACTGTGTCTGTGCACTGGCTGAGAGAGAGGAGCTGACAGGACGGCCGATAGAACACCTGGATCCCCATTTTGTCAGCTCCATGTTTCAAGGTAGGAGCAAAAACTCCCCCAGTGAGCTCTGCTGACCTGTGGTAGCACCCAGAAGGGACAGCGGAGGTGTGCATGGCTGGGCACGCAGTGTCTTGGAGTCTTACTCAGCACTTTTTTCTCTTTGCAGGCCCACTGCTGACGCCCCAGATACTGCTGGCACGACTGCTGGTGAGTACATGCTCCAGAGGCCGGTGCCACGAGCAGCCAGGAGGAAGCAGCATGGCCATGGGCAAAGCTGTTGGCTGCTCCTTGCCTGCCAGGGCAGAGCCAAGTTGCTTCCTTTCTGGGGGGAAGCAGCTGCTCTTGCTGCAGAAGTGACCCTGCTTCTCCTTGCTCTCGCTCAGGTGGTGGCAGGCAGCCCTGTAGCAGGCAGCAAACTCCAAGCTGCTGCCTTACTGCTGATGAAAAACCCCCACAGCAGGTTCCACAGAGTTCTGGGGGCCATGTGGGCTACTGAGATCCCCCTGCTGCTGCAGTGTCTTGAAGGTAAAGTACTGGTGGGGAGGAAGATGCAGAGGCAGGGAAGGGGGGTGAGTGAAAATGCAGCTCTGCACAGTGGCAGAGGGGAAGCACTGCCTGCAGCCCAGTGCTGCGCTGTCTCCATTCCTGCGAGTCAGCTCTGAGGCCCAGGGACCTATGCCCTTGGGGATCTGCCCATTCCAGGACAGGGATGGGCCTTTCACATCCCCTCAGACAGCAGCCTAGGAGCACTTAGTTCCGTGTTCCTGCGGGGACAGTGTTTGTGGGGAGGGACAGGTCACTGTGGAGGGGGTGCGGGTCCCAGCTTGGCTGTGTCAAGTGCCCAGGCCAAGACAGGTTTGCAGCAGCTCTTCTGTGCCTTGATCCCAAGTAAGGATCTTTTTCTTCCTGTTGCTGTGCAGGGAAAGATGAGAGCTTCCCGGACACTGCCGAGTTTGAGCGCCGTCTGCTAAAGGTACAGCATTGCCGGGAGGCGCGGTGCAGAGAAGTGCTTGCCTGCCCCAAGTAGCCCCGCTCCCACACGAGCCGCTGTGGGACAGGAACAGCCTCTCAAGCGCTGCTGCGGAGCGGCCGCACGCCTTTGTGGCGCTGCCTCTTCCGCTCTGTCCCAAGCCCAGGGGGGTCTTAGGAGAAGAGGGCAGCTGGCTTTAATGCAGGGAACGCTGAGGGAGCTGGGAGAGGGACTGTTCTTCCTGACACCTCTCCCTAGAGGGCTGCAGCAAGTTGGGAGTGAGGGAAGAGGCAAAGGGCAAGGGAACATTGTCTTCTCCTGTTCTCCAACAGTTCCTGAGGGCGTCAGTGGACACCATAGATGATGAGGCGTGGACCGAGGCCCTGAGCAGTGAGCTGAGCCAGCGGCTGAGCAGCTCTGCCAGCAGCTCTGCCGAAAAGGTGAGTTCCCCCCGGCTCTACCCAGCGGTGCAGCTGCAGGTGTCCAGCTGGGGCTGGGGCTGCGGCTGGTGCTCTGCCCACGCGGGATGCTGATGCTGCTTCCCAGTCTGTGCCCCCCAGAGGCCTTTCCCTGCAATCTGCCCGGGGATGGCTAAAGCTTGGCCCTGCAGCTGCTCTCAGCGACTCCCAGGGAGTGTGGGTCCTCCCCACCTGGCCCTCCCCCAGCAGGTTAAGCTGCTGCCACATCTCAGCTTCTTCCTTCCCTTCCCATGCAGTCGTTCCTGTACAAGGCTCTGGGCACAGTGCTGGGATCCTGTAAGGGAGTCCTCCACGTGCAGGAGAAGCTGCTGCAGCACCTGGAGGAGGCAAACGCGGAGGAACCATGTGAGGCCCAGGTGAGCTCTCCTCTCCTCCAGCTCCTGCGAGCATCCCTGCTCTGGCCCTGGGGCAGGGGGCTTTTCCTGGCCCTGCTCCGGGCCTTTCAACCTCTTCAGTGCTGCCATTTTGCTCAGGAGAGGACCTGTAGATTCAGGCCTTTGCCAACGGCCCCTTGTTCTTTTGTGCAGGGAATCATCTCTCTTCTCAGCCATGCTGCTGAGAACAACTTCCACACAGTCCTGGCCACGCTCACCATGTTTGCGTCCAGGCTGTGCAAAGGCCGCAATGCCAGGATTTCCAGGCGCAAGAAGGTAAAGCGTTACGGGTTTCCATCTTGGCATTCTTCTGCCTTATTTTCCCTGCAGCTCCTGCCTTGGGAGCCCAGGTGCATCGCGGGGCACTGGGGGCCGTTAGCGAGTGTCTCAAGGCATTTCTTCCCACACAGATGGAGCTGGACAGCACGAGAGCTCATGCCACACGCAGCGCTCTCATGCTCGCCCACGGCAGCGTGGCACTGCGTGCCTCCAAGGAGCAGCTGCTTGCCCACCTGGAGGGAGACATCGTGGGCAACATCCTGATGCTCTACAGCTGCAGCTGCCGGGTGAGAGCTCAAAGCATGCCAGGGTGTCAGAGCGCCCAGCTGCAGCCCCTCCATGTGGGGGGATGCTGAGATGGGCCTTCCCTTTCCAAAGGTCCCTTGGGGAAGCGTTTGTGTCCACATGAAGATCCAAGCCCTTCCCTTAGTGTTGTCTCCCCGTGTCCCCCTTGCAGCCCTTGTCCCTTCCCGCAGTTCAAAGAATGTTCTCCTCTCTTGCTCCTCAGGACTTGCAGAACAACCTCGCGCTGCTGCAGAGCATCACTGACTGCAGCACTGCCTTCCAAGCTCTGGGTGATTCTG